GGGGGGGGGGTTGGACTAGATGACCTCCAAGGTCCCTTCCAACTCTTTTGATTATCTGTTCAATTGATTGACCCAACTCGACACAATGTCGCAAAAGGGGATAACTGTCCTAACTGAGCGTGAAAAATGGTCCTAAGTCAACTCCCCCCCCCCGGGTTTGTTGTCACCCCGAAAACAGTCACTAAACGAGCGCGCACCTCAAAGCTGACGTCCCCACCACAGCTGCAGGCAAAGCAGGGCCCCAACACCCTCAGCACCGTCTCCTTCTCCACGTTCTGGATGGAGAACCTGGGCATGAAGGGATGCCAGGTCTGCACCACATAGCCGATGGTGGTTCCCGGCGGGCTCTGGACCTCCATCTGGGGAGGTGGGGTGTAGAGAAGGGGGGAAGGGACAAAGAAAAAGCTGGCGTCAGAATAAAGGAGATGGGGCGGCTGCCCAAGTTAGTGTGACGACCCAAATGGGCGGGGCACAAAGGCAGCACAAGTCACATAAGTAAGAAAAGTCCCTTTAGTAGCTCCAACTTTGCCCCTGCAGTTAATGAAGGGAATCAGGGCCCTTTCCTCCCCCGTAAGCCAGCCAACCCACATTGCTCCCTTCTCTGTTCCTCCTTGCGTGCCCTAGGAGGAAGAGGCGGGGTGGGCCTGGGTCTTCCTCTGAACCCCTTCTTCCTTGTTCTACCTCTCCCCTCTGCTCTGCCCGGCCGGACTTTGCCCTTCCCCAGTTTCCTCCATGGCCAATGGAGCCACACTGCCACTCCCTGTCAGCTGCTCAGCCTCCTCCTCTGAATCCGATTCCAACAGGGGCACGACAGTTAGCCACCAATGCTTGTAAAATAAGTTCTCTTGCAACCCAAACTGGGGGGAGGGGGGAGGAGAGAGAGGAGGGACTCACACAACAACAGCCGCAGTGTTGAACAGCCGCATCCACAATGGTTAAATCAAGAGTTTCGCTTAGTCCAACGGGTGAGAGATAAATTGGGGTCCAGCTTAAAAAAACCATCAAGTTGCTGAGATTTTCTATAACTCTTTTTCATAAACCTTGTTAAAGAAAATTTGGGGGAATATTTTCCCTATTGGTTAAAGTTGGCTGTCAAAGAGATTGACAGGACATCAATCCATCAGGAAGGCCAGTACAAAAGGGACTCTTTCCCATTCAACCACAGGGCAAATTCACCAGGAGACTGGGAGTTCTAGTCTTGTCTTAGGGGCACGAAACCTTAGGCTGGGTGATTTGAGGCTTTTAAGGCGGGACTAGAACTCCCATTCTCCTGGTGATTGGCCCAAAGTCACCCAGCTGGGTTTCGTGCCTAAGGCGGGACTAGAACTCCCCGACTCCTGGTGATTGGCCCAAAGTCACCCAGCTGGGTTTCGTGCCTAAGGCGGGACTAGAACTCCCCATCTCCTGGTTGAGCCTGGGTGCAATTGCCCACCCAACCACACTCGCCGTGTTACCTCCTGAAGGCAGCAGGGGAAAAAGCAGCTGACACATTTCAGGGGACGGACCAGTCGGATGACTTCGCGCCCGCTGGGGTCGTCCAGCCTCATGGAGAAGCGGCGTAGCGAGCCGCAGCAGTTCCGGGTGCAACAGTCGTTCTGCTCCTCGGCGTGGAAGATGTGCTGCCCGAGGCTGTTTCGCACCTCGTACTTGTTGTTGCCTTCGAAGCCAATGAAAGCTGCGGCGAGAAAGGGATAAAGGAGAGAAAGGGATAAAGGAGCGAAAGGGGTAAAGGAGAGAAAGGGGTAAAGGAGAGCGTGAAGTGTTCGGTGCAATGTGTGTGATGGGCTCTGCAACAGACCGCTGAAGGGATGATCAACCAGCCTGAAAGGGAATTTCACAGGGAGGCACGTGGGGACCCCGCCCTGCCCAACGGTTTATTTATTTATTTATTTATTATTAGATTTGTGCTGCCGCCTATCCGCCATGGCGAAGGTTTACCAGATTTCAGCGGGGGCAGAACAAGAAATCTATGTGGCTAGACTACTTTAGCACATTTTTTGATTAAATTTATTTTTTTTCAAAGTTTCGAAGATTTAAAAAAAGAGAAACAAGTTCTCACATTTTACAGCGCTATCATAGTAGTGAAGATGTCCTTTAGTAACAATTAGATTTGTTTACCATAGGTATATCTGTAACTAATTTACTAGCTCCTTACTTACTATACTACTGTTAAAGTAGTACAATACTTATTTATCTACATGACTTTACATATGCACACATAAGTCATATATCATATTCTTCTTTGAGATTTCTTTTTTTTAAAGCTTTTTATTTTTTAAAATGTACAAAAAGCACAAACAAAAAATATAAAACCATCTTCAATTACATACAGTGTGTTTGTTGGTTGGTACTAGTCTCTTGTGCATAATCTCTACAGTCATTCCCTTCTAATTACTTTTTAATCCTCATATCCTGCATAAGTTATAGGTATTTCTGATACAATCATTCTTCATTAATAGACCGTTACTTGCATTTCATCATTTTATGTGAGCAAATCCCCATTTTAACTTAGCCTACTTTATAACGTTCGTTTCATCATCATCACCATTTATTCAATCATATTTTATCCTTACAATAGTTTATTCTCCTTTGAGGTTTCTTTAGTCATTTTGACAAACTTCTTTACCTTATTGATTACTGCTAGATCTGTGGGGGGTTGGGGTATTGTGATTATGATTCAGTAACTTCCTTAATTAGAAGGTGGGAATGAAGAATATATACTTTGGTTTCAGCAAAGCGAGCTGGCCAGGGAATTCTGGGAGTTGAAGTGCACAAATCTTAAAGTAGCCAAGGCTGGACACTCCCCAGATCCACTTTCTGACTTTACAACTCCTCCCCCCTCCCCCCGCAGTTCAAGGTCTCAGGGAAACTGAGTCCCAGGCGGGCCCTGAACTCTGTCCATGCACAAGGTCTCCAAAATAAAAACAAAAATTGGGCTTTGACCCCCTCGTACCTTCTACCAGTTCCACCTTCTGATGGATCAAGATTTGGTCCACCTGAAGAGGAGACAAAAACAGAACAGGAGACGGTGACAACGAACGAGAACAGCAATATGCGAAATACTGGGGGGGGGGGGGAGAAAAAGAAAGAAAAGGGTGGAGTGGAGGGACTCAAAATAATTTAACAGTCGGTCTTCTGCCCCAAGGACTGGCTAGGTAGGCAGGGCCAACTTGTCACACCCAACCCTTTCCCCAGGCCCTGGGGCTATACACGCAACACCTCCAGCAATGAAAGGGTTAACCAATCTTCAGTATCCTGGTGGAAGTTTCCCGCCACCCCCTTCCTTCCTTCTCTCCTCCTTCCCATCTCTTTCCTTCCTTCCTTCTCTCCCTCCTTCTCATTCCCATCTATTTCTTTCCTTCGTTCTCCTCATTCCCATCTTTCCTTCCTTCTCTTCCTTCCTTCCTCTCCTTCTCATACCCATCTCTTTCCCTCCTTCTCTCCTTCCTTCCTTTCCTCTCCTTCCTTCTTTCGCATTCCCATCTCTTTCCTTCCTTTTCTCTTTCCCTCCTTCTCTCTTTCCTTCCTTCTCATTCCCATCTTTCCTCTCCTTCCTTCCTTCTCATTCCCATCTCCTTCTTTCCTTCTCTCCTTCCTTCCTTTCCTTTCCTCTCCTTCCTTCTTTCGCATTCCCACCTCTTTCCTTCCTTCCTCTCCTTCCTTCCTCTCCTTCCTTCCTTCTCATTCCCATCTCTTTCCCTCCTTCTCTCCTTCCTTCCTTTCCTCTCCTCCCTTCCTTCCTTCCTTTTCATTCCCTTCTCCTTCTTTCCTTCTCCTCCATGGTTGACAACCAACGTGGTATTTTCATATAAATCCCCTTAAAAAAAGAAAAAAAAAAGGCCCTAAATCAGAGGTCTCCAATCTTGGCAACTTCTAAGACTTGTTGGACTTCAACTCCCAGGGTTCCTCAGCCAGCCGTGTCTGTTTTATTTTATTTTTCCTGTCTCCCGAAAAGGAGAGATTTCGGAGGAAGGGATTGCAAGAGCAAGTAAGCTACGCCTGAGGCTGAGGAACTCTGGGAGTCGGAGTCCAGACCCTGCCTGAAAGTTGTTAAGGTTGGGGACCCCCGCCCTAAACCACCCACCCTTCCTTGTGCTTACCTGAGTCAGGTACTCCAAGCCAGGTGGGATACTAGCCGACACAGGCAGGTAAGGGGTAATGGCTGCGTGGGGATCGCTGGGCTGCTGGTGCTGTGGGGAAGCGGAGTGGTCGTGGTATCCTCGGGGGGGCGGTTGGGGGGCAGCCATGTAGCCGGGTCCGGGACTGGCGGCGGGGTAGACGTTGAACCCAGGGCTGGGCGCAGAGGGCCCGGCGTGTGGCGGCACGACGGGGTAAGGCTGAGAAGCCACTGGGTATCCTGGCTGTGGAACATGGTACCCTGGGGAAGAGGACAAAGAGAAATAAATAAAGACTCGATCCCGGAAAACTTGGCCACATTTTTTTTAGCTGCCAACAGTGGCAAGTTAACGGAATAATACGAAGAGCCCAAAAGGACCTCGGAGGTCATCCAGTCCAACCCCCTGCTCAAGCAGGTGACGCTTACAGAATCACAGGAGTTGGAAGGGACCTCGGAGGTCATCCAGTCCAATCCCAAGCAGGAGACCGTGTTCCCTTCCAGACAAATGGCTCTCCAATTCCTTTTTAAAAACCTCCAGGGATGGGAGCCCCCCACAACTTCTTGGGGGGCAGTTTCCAAAACGTCACGGATGGAGCATGGGCAATGTAGTCCTGGAAAAGGGCGGCTTGCTTTGCTCGTCGAAAAGGTCGCCAAAGGGGCATCACGGGACACCGTAACCGTCATACGTATGAGGCAGTTGCCGAGCCTTTTGTTACTGTGACCGTGTGGACGCTGCCAGCGGTCATTAAGAGTGAAAAACGGTCGTTAAGTCACTCTTCCCGTGCCGTTGTCCCTTCTGGCCACGGAACGAGCCTGTCGCGAAAGGAAGGACGAGCGGCGTTATCACACGTTCGGGACTCCCAAGAGACCCATTCGAAGCACATTTCCTTTTTATTCGCTCAGCTTGAAGTTTCTTGATTTATTTAACTTTAAAAATTAAAAAAACCCATCACGTCATAAAACTCATTGCAAAAATAAATAAATAAGTAAAAAAAATTAAGGCTAAGATCTCATCCCCTGGGGGGGAGATTGGAAACGATGTTCCACAGGGGTGTCAGCCGCCAAGTTGCATCAGAGAAAGGGGAGGGGTTCACTCTGCCCCCCCCCCCCCCCCCCACCTAACCTGCCCAGGTGCATTCCAGCCGCGCCCTCCAGGCTTTGCCCCGCCGGCTTCTTCTTCGCTTGGTGGAGACAGGAACACAGGAGTGCCTGCATCATCGTCACGGCCACCTCCAGTTTCTGGGACTCGCCTGTTCCTGCAGGCATACGGGTTTAATCAGATTAAGAGTGGGAAGGGACCTTGGAGGTCTTCTAGTCCAGCCCCCATGTTCAATGCCCCTATGCCATTTCAGACAAGCGGCTGTCGTTATCTCTTCTTAACAACCTCCAGTGACGGAGCACCCACACATTCCTCCTTGGTTGCAGGTTTGCTTCTCTCCTTGGTTCGTTTCCATCCGTTATTTCTTTTCCTGCCTTCTTTGGTGCCTCGGAAAAATAAAGTGCCCCCGCCACCTCTTCTCTGGGGGCAGCCCCTCAAATATTGGAGGACTGCTATCCTGTCCACCCTAGTCTCTCTTTTCTCCAGACTAGGCAAAATCCAGTTCCTACAACCCCTTGTGTGTGTCTGGCTCTCCGGGCCGTTAATCCCCTTCGTTGCTCTTCTCTGCGCTTTTTCCAAAAGTCCCAACCTCTTGCTTGTCCTTGGTGGTGACCAAAACGGGTCGCAGGGTTCCAAGTGTGGCCTTACTAAGGATTTACAAAGCGGTGCTAAATCCTTCGCCTGGTTTTAATTCTGTGCTTCTCCCCATGCAACCCAGGAGTTGTACTGGCTTTTTGGGCTGCGGCCGCACCCAGCTGACTCGCGGTTCAAGGGATCATCCTATTAGGACTCCAAGGTCCATCTCACCGCTCCTGTTTGGAAGCCAGGTTTCGCTCAATACTTGCACGAAAAGGCAGCCGGACGGGATATTTTTTTTATTTTTATTATTATTATTGGTAAATCTTTAGTGAGATTGACAGCTTTGGGGGCTGGTTGGTAGCTCAACAGCTCGAGTCCTAACCAAGGACCTAGGAACTGTTTTTATTTTTATTTTTCTTCTTCTCATTATTATTATTACTATTCTTTTCCTCCTCCTGATTCCTCTTCTTCTCATTATTCCTTATTACTATTCTTCTATTCCTCATTATTATTCCTCTTCTTCTTCCCATTATTACTATTATTCCTTTTTCTTCTCCTCCTCATTATTCCTCTTATTATTCTTATTCTTTATTCTTATTACTATTACTGTTCATCTCTTCCTCATTATTCCTCTTCTTCTCATTATTATTATTACTTCTTCTCCTCCTCCTCTCCTTCCTTTTCCTCCTCCATTCCCCTTTCTCCTCCTCAATGCCTTCTTCTTCTTCTTCTTCTTTCTCTTCCTCTTCTTCTTCTTTTCTCCTCCTCCTCCTCCTCCATAGTCTTCTTTGTCTGCCTTTCTCGCCTTTCCGTTGCCGGTTTCGCTCCTGCAGCTAAATTCAACATTTGCACCTAGTGGAAAGTTAAGACTTAAAAGCAATCAAAGGAGAAAAAAAAAAAAGAACACGAAAAATGAAAATGTTGACTAGGCTTCCTGGCTGACTCACAAAGTTAGATCACAGGTCTTAGATCATCAGTGGGATGACTTTTGTGAAGCTGTCAAATTAATTTTGTTTCTCAGACGTAGATGGAGAGAAATTCATCGCTCTTCATGCTGGTGCTTATCCTGTTTTGACAGCCCTCCGGCTCTTATCCATTTTCACCACAGCCTCCTCTTCTTCTTCTTCTTTTTCCAGGAAGCGTAAACATACATTTAATCAGAAAGACGAAACTTATTGAGTTTCATTTCTCTTCTGCCTGGCCACCTGTGGCTGAAAATGTGCCCCGTAAAAAATAATTTTTTTAAAAAAAAGTCGCAGCATTTGCAAAGAATATAAAAAGAGAAGGTGCGAGCAAAGATAATTGAGACAGAGAGTTTTGCTGCTACCAAATGATGGCGCGGGGGAATCACCTGCTGGGACCCTTTTCATTCTAAAGCAGGAATCGTGTCTTGTGGCAAGGAGTTCCAAAGTCTAACCTCTGAATCCTGTTGAGATTTCCTCACCCTCAACCCCCCTTTTGTTTCCTGCCCTGATTCTTCTACCACTCAAGATTTACTGATTTAAAATCCTGTAGATGTCTATAGGAAGGGAGTTTGAAAACTTTAAGACTGTGGACTTCAACTCCCAGAATTCCCCTGCCAGCAATTTTTTTTCACTTTCTGAAGTCAAGATATATTATATGTACTGCATTCCCACCATCTATTAAGAAAATTTTTAAAAAATTTAAAAAAATGCGATAAAGTAATCTAGCCACATTTTAACAGCTTGGAAGGGACCTTGTACGTCATCTAGTCCAACCCCCTCCAGCCAAGCAGCAAACCCTACATCATTTCTGGAAGGAAGGAAGGAAGGAAGGAAGGAAGGAAGGAAGGAAGGAAGGAAGGAAGGAAGGACAAAATAAAAGACTTGGAAGGGAGTTTGTAGGTCATCTAGTCCAACCCCTGCCTGCCCAAGTAGGGGACCACCATTTCTGAAAGAAATGGTGTAAGTAAGTAAGTAAGTAAGAAAGAAAGAAAGAAAGAAAGAAAGAAAGAAAGAAAGAAAGAAAG